AGAGTTCTGTAACACAAAGGTGCGGGACAAGAAGCAAGCGTTTTTAGCTTCCGCCTGTATCGTAAAATTAGCCTATTTTGACAAGGAAAAAAGCATCGTTAAGCTGTCTTTGCCACCCTCAGTCTTATTCTTGGGTCCAAAAAGGAAAGAGCTTCTGTACGTTCTTGAAACAGCCCTACTGCTTACCCTGGAAAACAGTGTGTTGAGGCAGTGTACTTTCTGACGCTCAGTTACATAGGCATAGTACTGGGTAACCCCCTTCAAGGTCAGCTCCTCCATCAGATTAATCTCGTAGGGTTTCTGCAAATGGGAATTCTGAAAAATAAAGATAAGGATAAAGCGGGCACATCTACATGCAAAACCAAGTAGGTACTTCCCACCCTCCAGCACATTTAACTTCCTCCATGGCAAGGATGTGCTACCCAGCCACTCACTCTTCACGCCATATACAAAACAGAGAGGGTGAGTAAAGTTTCACAAAGCATTACTTATAAATCCAAGGCGACCGAGCAGGCCAAACAGGAGCACCTCTGGATGCAAATCAGCACAGACGGCACACAAGTAATGTGCAAAGTACAAAACGGTACCTCATAGGCAAGAACTGTGCATACCTAGCTTTCCCATTAATGCTGTTTTGGGTAAAAAATTATTTTCAAACTTCTGTCCTAGATTTAGGCCTATTTAGATTAAACCAGCAAAGTTTGGATGCATTAAAAAAACAAGTATCAACAGCTACGAGCCGCACCATCATACATGTATGAATATGTCTGCGCTCACCATGAACTTCTGTACGCTCAAAGGGAAAGTGGCCGAGTAGAGCAAAATCTGTCTGTTTTTAGGTAGCGTGAGAATAATGTCTTCCATTATCTGAACAAAATCTTGAGACAGCAACTTGTCTGCCTGTAACAACAGAAGTAACAAAAGAGTAAGTCTAACGGGGCAAGCTTTCAGTCTTCTGATTGTACCACCTGGCAAAAAAAAAAAAAAAAAAACACAAAAAACACACACACCACAAAAACCAAACCCCGAGCACCCTCCCTGCCCTTACGATGGGACTGTCCCCTTTGGAGCACACCCCACATTCCAAAAGATGTGCGATTTAGCTGCTGCAGATAGGACTCATCAATAAAGGGAAGTTTATCCTCTCCTGGTTTTCATCACTTAGCATTTATTTTTCCTGAATTTGATTCTGCTTAAATCAATCTAAACTGAAAACAGTCATCCCGGTTCCCATCAGAGCCATCCAAAAGCTTTTGCAGAACTATTTTCTCAAGCTCTCGCTCAAAAGCCTGTACGCTATTGGATGTCAATAGACTGGTTTTATATACAATTATGTGGCAAGCACAGCTCACTCACTATAAACTGAAACCAAATGAAATGCGCTCCTTCATTTCAGAACAGACTGTTAATCTGTTCTTCAGGAACAGCAAAGGAGACAGGAAAGGCAAATCTCCCTAGGTCATTTTCTTAAAAGATTCACGTGCAGAAAAATTCTTCTGCCAAAACACCTTCTCAAAAATACTGCGAAATGGATGAACTGTAACCTTATAGTGTCCCTAAGCAAAGTTTGATCTGTGGCCGTGCATAATGAGGAGACTCGCTGAGACACATCATTGCTCTAACTTGCTGTTAAAATCCCAAAACGTTTAACATGAGCGACTTGCCTCATCCAATACTATCATCTGGACATGCTCAACTTTTGCTACTCCTTTCTTGATGAGATCGAGAATTCTCCCAGGAGTAGCTATCACCACATGCACTGTAAGTTTAGAAGAGGGGAGGGAAAAAAAAAAAGGTTAAGGCGACTAAAACAATGTTTCCGGTCACATTTCATACTAACAACTTGAGAGAATGACGACAGCATACAAACAGTGAACAAGACATACTGTAGTCTGTTCTGTAACAGGCAAACAATAACAACAAGCACAAATTCTACTGCCACACTGTAAAAGCCACAAACAGCAACTGTGGTGTAGCAAAAGCGCTCCAACCTGTATCATCAAGCCTCATTATGTCATCTCGCAAATTGGTTCCTCCCGTTGTTGCCATCACTTTGGCACCTCCCATGTGTTTGCTGACTTGGATACAGATTTGACTGACCTGCAGGGCTAGTTCACGGGTGGGAACAATCACCATTGCTGAAAAGTTAAAAGCATCAGCATGAGTTACTAGTAGCACACCGTACCTTAAACGCTAATCCTCCGAGGAGACAGAGACTTAATGAAAGCTATCCTTCTATGGTTTTGGAGTTCCACTCTGGATATCCTGAACAAGACCTAGAAACTGCTTATGACAAGGCAAACGCCATGGAAGGGTTCTCCACTCCTTGACGTTCCCTCCGCTCAAGTACCCCAGCCAGCACACTTGCCGATTACTCCAAATCCACTTTCCAGGGCAAGATGGTAAAGCCCAGAAGACGTCTTCCATTTCAAGCGTCTGAAAGCAACTGTGGGACTTCTTTTGAAATTCCACCTCCCCTCCATCACTCCACAATAACTTTCTTTGAAAGCCCGAGCAGATAACCTACACTGCTGCATTTCACCAACCAGTTTTAGATTCAAGCCTGCTATGTCGTGACCGATACCGTTACCTGGACGCAGCTAAGCGACATCCATCTCAACTGACCTTGTATGTTGTCCTTCTTTAAGTCTAGCCGTTCAAGTAAAGGAATGAGGTAGGCTCCGCTCTTGCCCGTTCCATTTTTCGCTCTAGCCAAGATATCCCTACCAGATAAAGCAATGGGGATGCTCTCCTCCTGAAATGCAACGACGGACAGCACATGAGCAATCTTAAGCCACGCTCACTACAGAGACTGGAAAAATTTAACTCTCCTTTCTAACAGTATCACATTAAATCCGACCGTTTCATGAATGGAATATCCTGTAACTGCAACCACCCCAGACTCCCAACAGGAAGGAGTTAAACCTATCAGTAAAGGGTTCCCCAACAAAGCAATAGCTCTGCTCCCCATATCCCACTTGAAAGCCCTCATCTTGCCCGGTCATAAGAGAACCAGGGATCAGGTACCACAAGAATGGTAAACCCACAGTGACACATCAGGAAAAAAGTGAAAAATTAGGAAAAAAAAAAAGTTAAAAGACAGTGACAGTCACTAGCAAACTCCTCCTATGGAAAAAGAAATGCACCTCTATCTTGGTATCAGAACCACCTCAGCCCGTGTAATTCAAACCCGCACGCTCCTGTGGTATACTCCTCATAAAACCAGCAGGCTTTCTTTTTGAAACTTGAGCCAAACACAGGCCCCAAATATTTTTTGCTTTGCTTTATTTTACAGCAACGTCTAAAGAATGCTCAGCTTTTTGGAAAGGCGGCACGTTAGAATCTGTTTTAAAAGCAGACAAATTAACTAAAAGCCACAGCTTCCTCATGCCGTAAGGAGATAAAGCAGCAGAGCCGTGTCAACGATAATCCTCCAAAGAGCAATTAAAGAGAGTTCAGCCTCTCCGTTCCCCTGAAGTTTACACATCAACAGTTTGTAACAGAATGAGCCTTAAAAGTAAAAGCAAGATGAAGGGACAGAAAAGTAAACTTGCTAACATATTAATCTCTCTCCCATAACTTCCACTACGCTCCCTCCAGATGCTTACGATAAAAAAAGTCCAGATCCTGTGATAAAGCCATAGTTACCTTGGCAACAACAAACGGTACGCAGCCTACGGTAACTCAATCAGTTTTCCAGAAAATGTACACAACAGCCCTGTTCTCTCTGGGGCTGTTTTATGTGAAGGATGCTACTGAACAGGGAATTAACACACTAATGCCTCCCCAGTGAAAAGGAAAATCCAAGTTAACTTCTCTAAAGCTTAAGTCGGTCTCATTCCTAAACTCACCCATTGCATGACGGGTGGTAGAAATTCTCGCCTCCCCCACAGGGCCACCAGGCTCTACCGTTCACAACCCCAGTTCTCCCAAACTGTGACAGGACTATACAATATTTAAGCATGAATAAGAATTTCAGTAAAATCATAAAAATTAAATGCTGCTTTTAAGTAGTCTGTTTGTAAACAACCTGAATAGGAGATGGTTTTTCCCAGCCCATTTCAAAAATTCCCATCAGCAACTCCCGTTTCAAACAGTAATCTTCAAACTCGTTTCCTTTTGTGGAGGTCACGTCCTGAATAATCAAAAAAAGCACATCCATAAGATTAGGTCACACAAGCCACAGCCGTAGATCGGTCTGACGCAACGAGAGATTGCCTAGGCAGGAAGACCATAACGTGCATTCCATTACCATATAGGAGTCCCCGCTAATGTGCGCAATGCCGTTCAGCAGAGAAGGAAACGCTAGCTTTCTCATAACTAAATACAGCACTGTGAACATACACTGACATCTTTCAGTCTGCCTTGCAAGAGACACTGACAATCAGCCCCATGCTGTAACATTAATAGAGGAAGAAATCCACAGTAAACTCCATTTTCAAGCTTTCCAAGAAAAGCATCTCTCCCAAACGGTCGTAGAACAAATGAGTTCTTCATTTAAAACAGCAAGAGCTGAACTGCTTTGGAATCTTTGCTTAGGACAAATATTTTGTCAACACAGCTTCTCCCACATCTTTTATTTAATATTTACTCCTACAATTCAACCATCCTTACCGAAGTTTTGATTCTCAAATCCTTTGGAGGGAGTTTTAAAGTCTTCTTCCAGTCATCACCAGGTCTGTAGCAAAAATAAAATAAAATAAAAGTTTTATTAATTTCATTTTGCATTTTATTTTCTTCGATACAGTGATGAACATGTAATATTTTCACCTCCTGAAAGCTAAAAGTGCCTACACACAAGCTCAAATCTTCTCTGAGCTAAGCGGGATGCAACAGGCAGGAAACTGTAAACAGAGAAAACCAGCAGTCTGCCAAGAGCACAGAGAATTTTGGGAAATCTTTATCCAGTCATGATTCGAGTCCCATTTTTAGGGCACTGAATCAATCCACTAGAACAGAGGTTTAAAACTGAGCAATGACTTAGTCATATGACAGAAAACTGGCTATAATAAACCCACATGAGAATATTTCATCACTTAAAGGGCGGGGGGGGGGGGGGG